TAAACTCTCTTGGCAACTTTCAAATATACAATGAAGTATTTTTAACTATAGTCATCATGCTGTACATTACATCTCATGACTTATTTATTTTATAACTGGAAGTTTATACCTTTTGAAGCCTCTCGCCCTTTTCCCTCAAACCTCAAACCTCACCTCTGGCAACTGCCATCTGTTCTGTGTATATGTGAGCTTGATATTTGTTTGTTTTAGATTCCACATATAAGTGATCATACAGTATTTGTCTTTCTCTGTCTGGCTTATTTCACATAGCATAATACCCTCAAGATCCATCCATGTTGTCACAAGTGGAAAGGTTTCATTCTTTTTTATGGCTGAATAATATTCATATGTAGTGGGTGTGTGTGTGATGTTTTCTTTATCCTTTCATTTATCTGTGAGCACTTAGGTTGCATCCAGTCTTGGCTATTGTAAATAATGCTACAGTGAACACGGGCGTGCATATGTCTTTTCAAGTTAGTGGTTTTGTTTCCTTCAGATAAATATCCAGAAGCAGAATTGCTGGATCATATGGTAGTTCAATTTTTAATTGTTTGAGGAACCCCCATACTGTTTTCTATAGTGGCTGCACAATTTATATTCCCACCAGCAGTGTATGAGGGTTCGTTTTTCTCCACAACCTCTCCAACGCTTGTTATTACTTGTCTTGATAATAGCCATTCTAACTGGTGTGAGGTAATACCTCATTGTGGTTTTTATCTGCATTTCTCTGAGGATTAGTGATGTTGACCACCTTTCAATGTACCTGTCGTTCCATCTCTATGTCTTTAGGAAAATGTTTGTTCAGATCCTCTGCCCATTTTTAAATCAAATTATTATTATTATTATTATTATTATTATTACTGCTTTTGAGTTGTATGAGTTCCTTATATTTTTAGGATGTTAATCTCTTAGTTGTATGGTTTGCAATATTTTCTTCCATTTCATGGGTTACCTTTTCGTTTTGTAGATAAGTTTCCTTTGCTGTGCAGAAGCTCTCTATTCTGTTCTCTCTATTGTCTGTTTTTAATGTTAATACCATACTATTTTGATTACTATAGCTTTTAATATAGTTTGAAATCAGGAAGCTTGATGCCTCCAGTTTTGTTCATCTTTCTCAAGTTTGCTTTGGCTATTTGGGGTCTTTTGTGGTTCAATATATATTTCTTATTTAACATATTCAGTATCATGTTGTGTCACTTGAGCAGGAGAGCTATCAACTAAAAGATGTGTATAAGGGATTCACACAAAATATTTCAATGTCTACTTTAAACTGCCTACAGACAAGGGTGAGATTCTCATCGTTATCTAAATAGCCTTTTTTTGTGTTTAAAATCGAGATAGAATTAAATATTTTTCTCAGAAATTCTGCATTTTGATATATTTTGTCTTTTAGCTTATTGATAAACAATTATTTTAAATAATACAAGGTAAGCATGGTGTAGAATAACTTAAGGAAACTTTGTATTTAAAGCTTTAATAGAAAATTACATTTTTATTTTAATATCTTTACTATTTTTGCATGAAATCAGTAGAATGTAAAAGAATTTGAGTACTTTTTTTCTATTAATTACTTAATTTCTTTTACTGTGTGTATTTTTCTGTTACTTAAAAGAAACTGGACTATTGCCAAATTCTTTAATTCACTCAGAGTCATTGGTACCCTAATAACCTGAGATGCCATCAATAATTTATGAATGCTTCTTGGACATTATTTTAAGTTTTTCTTTGACTTGATTTAATAAGTAAAGGATCAAGTAGCACATGCAAAACACTAAATCCCCAAAGTGGGATTCTGGGTGCAGACATGTATGTGTCTTAATGCATGTTGCCAAATTTCCTGGCCATGTTGGAATATGAGATTTAGAAAGGAGGAGAAGGAATGGAGAATTCTAGGTGGACTTATACAGAATAGAATTTTCTTTTTCTTATCTTAAAATCTCACCACAAGTACTTTCTTAAGTAAGTTGTCCCTAACCTCCAGACTAGAATTGGTGACCCCTTGCGTCTCACATACCTCCTTCCACTTTTTCATCATGACGATTGCAATAGTGTATATATTAATATTTTGTGGTTTAGGTGATTGTCCCCTACTCCAGCCCCCAGCTTAAACTTTATAAAGATGGGGAACAGGCTGTTTTTGTCACCAACATCTAACAGTTCGTATTTTGTTGAATGAAGGACAGGGAAGGAAGAGAGTTGGTTTGGTCTGGCTGGCATGTGGTGTTCATGAGGGAGAGGAAGGAGAGGTTGGCAAGTTAGATTGTAGCTAAATTGCAGAAAACCATGAATGAGAAACTTAGAATTTTGAAATTTTATTATTTGGTAGAAGGGCTTTATTAAAGTTTTGAAAGGAAACTGGGAATAAACTGATTAGTTGGGTTTCAGGACTAACCTGGCAACTATGTAAAATCCATTAAGGAGAGACTTGAGGTAGATTAGCTGGAAAACTAGTAAACAGTAATGGAGCCTGAACTAGGGTAGGAACCAAAGAGTCACTGGGCATTGTTCTAATTGCTGCATGTGTAGCAGTGGACAAGGAAGCTATGTACATGCTTTGGGTTACCTGTGCAGTCTGTCATAAAAGCAGATATTCAACAGACCAAGTACAGCTGTTATGAATGCTATGAAAAAAAATAGGGGGCTCTGCAAGCACCAGACAGGTATATCATGGTTGGGAGAGGTATCTTGGAAGGCTTACGGGGGTGCTGTTTTAGCTGACAACTATGTAACAGCTAAGTGAAGAAAGAGGTGGAGGAAGGCAGAAGGCACAGTATGTGCAAAGGCCCTGAAGTGGTTAAAAACGTGGCATGTTTAATGAACAGTCAGGTTTAGTGTGGTTGGTGGAGAGGAGAGTCTTTCAAGATGAGAGTAAGATTGGTAAGGACATTTGACAAGACACAGTGGATAAAGAGATAATTCAGAGGACTTGGATATGGACAGCAAGTAGAGGACTCTGATAATAACCTAGGCTTCAAGACTGAATGTTTCATTATAATTTCAGTTATTTTTAGTAATTTTTTTTGAAATCTTCATAATACCAACTATATACATAATTAGTGGCTTACTGGGAATATTGTTTCTGATTTTTAAAAGCAGACCTATAGAGATCTTGAAGACTGGAGTTTTTAATATATTTAGTGCAAATTATTTCATTAGTGCTTTTCAGAGTAAAATGTCCAGGCCTCACTTTAAAGAGTTGTATTTTGGGGGATGCAGAAGGCATGCAAAAGATAAATTAGTATAGGAGATGATACACTAATGAGTATGTTTCAGAAAATCTGTTCTTTACTTTTAGAGTAGCAGCTTCAGATAAAAGTATCAGACATTGGCTTAGTTGAGCAGTGAAGAAGAGAATGAAATTTATACCCCTTTAAAATGAGTCATGCACCAGTAGGAGACACAAGGAGTTCATTCGGAAGCCACAGGAAACAGCTGGAGGAATTTTTCCTAGTCAGAAAGCTTCTGCTTGTTTAAGTAAAATGATGCACTTCCCTATTTTTAGTAGCTTAAACAAAATGAGGTTTAGAGAACAGTGATAAAGAGAATAAAATGAAATCTGTCTATGAAATTGAAATAATAGTCACAAAGTAATTGTTGTTTGTGTTCTTTTACATAGTTACAGCAAAATTAGTCAGAAAAACACGGAGAACAAAATTTTGACACTTAAATCCAGGAAGTTTTATGGTTGAGTTGGCTTATACTTATGATGTTTTTAACTCCAAGCATATTTTAAGGATACATTTTAAATGAATGTGTCTTCGTAGGTTTAGTTCGTAATTTCATTTGCAATAATTTTATTGATGGCCTAACTTAATTTTGACTTTCTGAATGAAGTTTATTAACTCTTTGCAATAAACTTATAAAATAGGGATTAGCATAGATTATATTAATATTAGTCCTTAAAGGTATTTTTATTAACTAGGTTGGTTACATTTGGGTTGGGAGCTCTGAGATTACATAATTATATCATTGACAGTCCCTTAAACATTTATATTTTAAAATAGGGAATGCTATCAGATCAGGAATTTTAGTTTATGATAGTCTAAGGAATGATTTCATTATTGACATTCTAGTTCTTTTCTTCAAACCAGTGATAATATTAGAAGGCCTGACAAGTGTGCAATATCTTCAGTGAAGACAGGTAAAAAGATGTTTGTGTTTAAATACAGATATATGCATATACTTGTACTATGTGCTCTTAAATACTTTAATGCAGACATTGGTACTTTTCCATCAAATGACTACTGACTGACTGACTGACTGACTGACTGACTGACTGACTGACTTACCTACCTACTACCAAGGCTGGTGCTTGCCTTTAGTCTTGTTAAATTGAGCCTTGCATTTGCCTCTTTTTCAACCTGATCGTAAATTGGAAGAATAAAATTTAGATTAGTTGATATTAGAGAATTTAGATCAGGTTCTTGCTGTCTGTCACCTCCTTCCCTCCCTCCCTCCCTGTCAGTGTGTGTGTGTGAGTGTGCACGCGTGCCCCTCTTTTCTCTCAAATTCAGTGACCATTTAGGTTATATAGTGTACAATTTCAGGGAGTGCCTTCAGAGTTTACAATATGAACATACATAGCAGCCCTGAGTTTCAGTTATGTTTTTCACTATATTATACTTATTACTGATGCTCCTTGTATTAGGTTTAATTTGTATAGTCACTGCACATTATACAACGTTTTCTCCCTTAGATCATTACTATTCAAACACCTGCTAAGTGTAAGGTACTTTTCTGGAAGCTAGAAAGATTTCTGTAAATGCAGAATTAGGTGTCCTGTCCTCAAGGATCCTACAGTCTGGTTAGTGAAATGGGCTAGGTCATGCACAGTGTAAGATAATAGCAAAACATGAACAATGAAGCTATTAAGACTCATAGTATTTAAGAGAAAGTGGCTCATAAATACCTGAAAGTCTCTGTAGGGTGTGGGTCAAAGACTACGTACTCAAATGTAATTTTTTAGACGCAGTTAATGTTGTTTTTACTTTTTTCATCAGCATGTTGGCAGATAAACTGAACATGACTCCAGAAGAAGCTGAAAGGTGGATTGTAAATTTGATTAGAAATGCACGACTGGATGCCAAGATTGATTCTAAATTAGTGAGTATCCTATTAGCTATCCTACATACTAGATGTCCGTTGCTGTTTATTCTGTACTTTGGGGGTGAAGTTTTCATTAGAACATTTTATTCTATCAAGAATTTTTTTGTTTGTTTTAATGTATAATAGTTCTTTGAAGGCAGTAGCAACCTCTGATTTTTTGTTGCTGGATGAATGTTGTCATCTCTCTACAGTGCATAAAAATGTGTGCCTCAGTCATGTAGTGTTATCACTCTCACGACTTACCTGGGAAACTCAGTCATTAACATTATAAGATCAATTTCTCTCTGTTTCATTTTAGGGTCATGTGGTTATGGGGAACAATGCAGTTTCACCCTATCAGCAAGTGATTGAAAAGACCAAAAGCCTTTCATTTAGAAGCCAGATGTTGGCCATGAATATTGAGAAGAAACTTAATCAGAATAGTAGGTCAGAGGTAAGAACCACGCATTTTCTGTTCTGTATGGGATTTAGCAATAAAGTAACATAATTGTTACACGGACCTAATTTGAGAACATGTTAATATCGGTTGTATGTGATTTTGTATTTGTTCATTGGGGGAATGAACATTTGTTTAAGAAAATAATTTTTCTTAGCTGTATTACATGTATTACTTAAGAGAACTGAAAAAAATTAAGTGTTCCTAGTTTACTATACCTGTTTTTTCTTTTCCTTTTACTTTCTGTGTGACTTCATAAAACTAATTTCCTCAGAGTTGTCAACACATCATTTTGATACTGACAGAAGATATATGTGTAGACCTTTTAAGTGCTTGAAATTTATGTTCTATCTAATATTTATATTTAACTATATCCAAAAATAAAAAACTTTTTGATAGAGATTCTATGTATTAGATATTAAAAGAATTTGAATGACTGTATTTTGGAATCTCAAACCACCGTCAATGCTTTTTAGCCATTATTTTTATGTGTAAACTGGAGGATAGGAAGTTTTTAGGAAGCAGTTGTGGAATATTCAAGGACCTCATTTGGTTGAAGTTTTAGCAACAGGTTTGTGTCTTTAGAATAGTCCTTCAATTTTAAAAGAGAAGGAAGAATTAGGAAATTATTGTCAATACTTTTCCAACCAAATCCGGAATAACTGAGCTTGAAAAATAACTTCTAATGGGTTTTTGTATGCTTTAGGGTCAAGTTGTATTGATTTTTGTTATAATATTGGTAATAGTGTCATTGTTATACTTTATAATTGGTCAAAAACTGTATCGGATGATATTTTAATGTGTTTGTTTGTTCTAAGTGAGACATCTGACATTTAGTAATTATAGAGGTTGTTAAAATCTCAGAGAATAGTTTGGCAGGAGTAGTGCTAAAAGGAAATGCTAGTATCACTTTCTTCTGAGTTTTTCTTTTCACCCTGTGTCTTTGTGTATTTTAGGCTCCTAATTGGGCAACTCAAGACTCTGGCTTCTACTGAAGAACTGTAAAGAAAAGATGAAAAAACTATAAAAGAAAGATGAAATAATAAAACCATTATATAAAGGGTGACATGCATTTTAGAAACAATTAACATATTAAGTATAAATTTTGGAGCATTTGAATAAAATTGGCTGTGTTTCATTATCTTGTGAACTTTCTTGTGTATACAAGTGTGTGTCTTTTTAACTTTTTATTTTGGAATAATTATAGATTGACAGGAAATTGCAAAAATAGTACAGAGAAGTCCCCTGTAGCCTAAACCTAGTTTTGCCCAATATTTTCTTCTTATGTTACTATGGTACAGTATCGAAACTAGAAAATTGACATTGGTACAGTATGTGTGAATAGCTCTGTGCTATTTTGTCACATGTAGTTTTGTGTAATTATCACTGCAATCAAGGTACAGAACTATTACCATCACGAAGATTTCCCTCATGCTACCCCTTTGTAATCATAAACCACCACCACCACCCCCACCCCCACCAGCCCTAGCCCCTGGCAACCACTAATCTGTTCTCCATCTCTATAATTTTCTCATTACGAGAATGTTGTAGAAATGGAATTATACAGCATGTGACCTTTGAAGATTAACTTTCTAACTAACACTCATCATAATGCCCTTGAGATCTATCCAAGTTGTCAGATACATATCCGTAGTTCGTTCCTTTTTATTGCTAAGTTGTATTCCATGGTATCAGCATACCACTTTGTTTAACCATGTACCTATTGAAGGATATTTGCGTTGTTTCCAGTTTGGGGTTATTACAAATGAAGCTGCTGTTGCATAATTTCCTAAAGTGGCTCTGTAGTCACTCACTAGCCAGCTACAGAGACTAAATAGGAATATAAGATAAATTGTATAAACGCCTCCTTGAATATTTTAAAATACCACCACCACCACCCCACCCCACCTCCTGCCACACACACATAGTTTACTAGATACCCAAGATATTTATGAAGTATGTAAAGTCATGATTGAGTCTCCTTTACACAGAAGTGTTTGATTTTCTCTTTGGGTGTTGAACTAAAACCCAGTCCAACAATAGAAATTTCTGTTTCTGCTTTCAAGGTGTGGTACAAAGATAAAAGATAATATTCTTCTTTTTGATATCTGATCAGGCTACCCTCGATATTCAGTTAAGTTTAAAAGAATATGGACGAGGTTTGTCCCATGTGCTGTGGTTTCAGACTCCAGGTTTGCAGTGTTCTAAACTGAACTCCAACGGTGCTGACGCTGGAAGGAGCATTAGTGGTCAGGGTAAGCCAGATGCTACTTTTTTATTCATCTGTAACTAGTGTGAAAAACGCCAGATTTAGAGGATCATTTGCAGAACAAAATGGTTGCGGTTTATAGAGAAAGTACCAAAACAGCATATCAGTAACTACATAGAAACAGACCCTTCTTACCTCATGTATAAGAGCTAATTCTATAAATCAGAAGTGTAGACCTATAAGAACTAGAGCTATAGTTACATAAAACTATTAAAAATTGCATACATTACTCAAGCTATGTAGAAATGGATGGATGTTAAAATGTCCGTTTCCCTGTTCACCAGTGACTGAAAGGCAAAAAGTTCTTAGAGCCATCATTAATCTTGACTTTATCCTAAGACTGTAGCTCAATGAAATCTAATGGCAAAGATTTCTAGGCAATTACATAGCCAGCAGTGAAAAGCAAGTCTAACAGTTACATAAAGTGCCTTAGGTGGACCAGTAAAAAACTCCAGGGAAGAAAGATAGAAAGCTAATATTGAGCATTTACTATGTTAGGCATTTTCACAACTGTATCTCTAAACAACACTAAGGAGAAGGAAAGGAATCACACATTCGAGTGCCTAACTTAGACCTGGAAACACTGAAATTTTGATGCTAATGAGTAAAAACCTTAGTTTGCGAGTGTTCCACAAGATGAGCAAACATTTCTAATACATTTTAACGTGATAAACAAGCGATGTCTTGCAATACGAGTAGCTTGGTTTTGGTCCTAAATATGCTTGCAAACCAAAGTATGACTGTATTTGTATATTATTGATGAGGAAACACTCAGATGGTTACACAAGATCATACCTTGTAAATGTTAAAGCAAGGAATTGGAAACAGGCTTTTTCAGTTATATCACACTGTCCTCCACCCCACCCCCCTTACATCATTGTCTTATGTATCCTTCCAGACTAAATTTGCAAAGGGTTAAGGTATATATGTTTAGTACATTGTAAATGAGGTTTTTGATCCATAAAACTATTGTCTCGACAACATCATCGAATGAAAGCAAAAGTGTATTCTATTTTTTTCTACCCGTATAATCATTGGATACTAGTGGCCTTACCAAAAAAAAAACCTATTGGAACATACAAAACTGATGACTAGCTCTGATCTTTTAATTTATGCTCTTTAAGGTTATCCATTATATGAATAATTAATGTTCCCTTTTTTAGTACTTTTTGCTTTTCACATATTGTTGCCCTTTGAACTTGAGAGGTAATGCCACTATAGATTACTAACTAGTATCAATCAGAAAAAAAAACTAATGGCCATTTTTACACATTACCAAACATTTCTTCATCGCTAAGATGCGTTTTTAAAGTTTCCATAAAAACATTACTTAATTCTGGACTTAACCTTAAGTTTTGATAACAGGTAAACTGTCCCAGTAAGATGTTGAGCACAAATTATGTATTAATTTTCTTTTTTTTAAAGATTTTTATTGGGGAATTGGGATGGGAACAGCGCTGGGGAATTGGAGGAAGGGGAACAGACAAGTTGCTGTCGTTTTGTTCTTCAGTCTAGTTGTGGAGGA